AAATGAGCCAAAAAAATTTTGTTTTTTCAGCCCAAACTGTGAATGGTCGTAACTATCCGTGAGGCGAAACATAAAAAAGCTTAATAGTACTCATTGAATGAAATTTAATGTTTTTATTTAAAAAAAGGAGGGAACAAATTAGAAAATTTGTGATGAATGCTCAAAAAGGTGTTGAGTTATATAAGGAATTTTTTTTTTTTTTTTTTTTTTGTCGTTAATCCATAAATATTTACTTGCAAAGTGGAAAATGTAGTTTCTGTGATGTAGTTTTGGTGTTGAAAGCTTGCACCAGAAGGTCGAGTGTACATGAAAAAAATATGCATTCTCCAAGTAAGTACTTCTAAAAAATAAGTAATTGGTAAAAAGTATGTTGATTATGGAATACTTTCGTTAAGATGTCCGATGATTAATAATTAATTCATACGGTTGTCGTGTAGACATTATACTGATAAGTTTAATAATTTAGGGAGCTTGCACTCAAGCTTTGAATCATTAAATTTAAAATATTTTTTATTCATGGTTACATGACAGTTTAGGTCTGTCTCAATATGTTAGGTTCAATGAAGCTTGTAAAATTAATCAACTCGGTGGTATCATTATTTTGAATAAATATACATAAATGTACACATTACATCAATAGTAAGATTAACGAGGTTCTATACACTTTGAAGAGCCATAAATTTAAATATTTATTAAACAAGTTGCTTAAATTAAACGGCAATAGAATAACTTGTACTAATAAGGAATTTATTATAAAAAAAAAGTTCTCATTTAATTTGCTTTAGGGTACACGTGAAGAGCATAAATAATCGTGGTCAAATTGATTAAAAAACCACTCCGTATCTCTACATGTAATTTCACTTTGTCCAAGCTAGTCAAATTTTAGATACGACGATTTATTGTGAGGCAATTAAAAAATTATCCTTAAGTCACAAAGTATCAGTTATTTCCAACTGTTTATGTCTGACTATGTAAATTTTATAAACAATAGAACGTAACTTTTTAATAATGTAAAATAATTTGAAATTAAATGTGCCAACTCAACGTAGAATGTACTGAGATAAGAAGTAGCTGTTAAAAATTTAAGTAGGATGAAGAGCATAAAGATTTTTTGGTAAACTTTTGCAAAACCACTATACATAAAATCTACAACATGCCAAGTTTAACAGTAAAATTTCCAAAAAGAAGTGAAAAATAACAATACTCACATTATTTTTTTATCATCAACTTGTTTATTTGTTAACATTGACTAAGACTTTTTCTGAGCAAAACCTCATTATTTGTTTAGTTAAACTATACAAAAATTAAATGAAAAATCAGAAAAACGTAAAAAATATCCACATTCAAAAATTTTTGTGTTATTTTTTTAGAAAGTAATTTAGACGTATTTTGTTTTTAACAATATAAGGTATTTTATTTCCATATTTAAATTAAATTCAATCCAATTTTTGGTGGATATATCTTATAAATTGCTGTAATTCATTTTATTGCCTATTAGCGGTAATCACCTAACAACTCATTACAAACGTTAATATGCTTCTAGAGAAGTTAGTACTATCTCGATGGGACAATCGCTATGACCATCCAAAAACTATTTTGATGATTTTTTTTGGTTACAATAAAATTGAAAAACAGATTAATGTTTCTTATAAAAAAAAAAAAAAAATCAAANATTTTTTTATCAGAAAAAGTAGTACAGTACTAATGTACATGCTTTCGCTCATTTTTGAAAATTTTTTTATTATTTATTTATTTTTTTTATTTCATTAATTAAGTACATTTTTCAAGACTATAAATAAATACGAGTCAGTATGAACGATATTGTAGGCCAAAAATTGCGTTCGTAAGTTCATGAGGTAGCAAAAAAAAAAAAAAAAAAAAAAAAGGAAAAAAAATCATCAGCCTAGTTGTATGGAAACGTTTAATGCAGCTCTCAAACATGAATAAAGTCAGATAATAGGATACTTTATGTTTTTCAGTTTCAAAGGTCGATTGCGTAAGATACCTGTAAAACTTAGATTGTAACACTGTAATAAACAAAGTTCAGCGGGTGATTTTGTTGTTTTTCTTCTTCGTCGAAAACGAATAGTGAGAAGTATTTATACTATATATGACACTGAAAANATATATTATATACACAAAAATAATAAAAACGAGTAAAATGAAGTATCACATGTCTATTACTTTATAAATATATATTTACATTTTTTGAACTTATTACCTTTGACGATTGCAAAATTTTTTAAAATAAATTGTTTGCTTTTCTTGCCTTTCATCATGTATTTTGTATTAATTGAACAGAACTACTCCCTCTATTGCAAGTCTGTCGTAACTGAAAGAGAAATATCAAAACTTGATAACGTAGGGATTATCCATACCATGTTCAGAGAAGAGAAAGTGTCTAAATTTTATCTTGTCAGTATAACTACAGAAGATTGCAAGAAAAACTTACGTAAAGCTCTAGCAGATGTCTCTTAACGAAAGCTCCTGAAAAAAATATAATCTGTGAATTTTCACATGTGCTTTTTCACCACGCAATGATCCTCGTGAAGGAAATAGGCGACCTTCTCTCAGCAAAATTGCCTACTTTTCCCCCAACACCCGCCTCCTTGTGATGGGAAGCCGCCCATCCCTTTCCAAAGTGTTCAGTGCCCTTTGTAGAGGACCTTTGTGTAACCGGACGTATTACACTATAATAGATAAAAAAAACATGATTTACTTATTGCTTTAGTAAAATTCTCCCACTGCATTTACATTGTCTCTCTTATTGCGGAATATACACATTTTTTATTAGATTCGAATTATGTAAGGTAGTATTATTTGTTTGGTTAGATATGACAACGATTTCAGCACTTGGACTATCGAGATATAACTATTTTCCCTAATTCATTGCATAATGGTTTTGCTTTGCCAATATTCGCAAAACCCTGAGGAAACATCAATTCCTCCAAAGGATAAAAAAAAAAAATCTGAAACCAAGAGGAAAAATGTGAGAGTAACACCCCGTCGGAGCAGCTATAATCATCAGCTGCAGTAACACCGTGGTACACCAGGTTCTCTCGCTCTCCCTCCCTATATACGTATATCGACTCGGCGCAGACAGAGGCAGTAGTGTCACATAGAGTATCTCCAGCAGGTAATGGCACGACGGCCCGGCTCCGCTAATCCTGATTCAAATGACAGCACACGGGGAAGCCTTACACATCCATACAGATACCTAATACTCGGTTCTCTGCTCTCCACTTTGTACAACGCGTGTATGGACGGACACCCCGTTTGCACCCCCCCCCCCCCGGTGCTGGCCTCGCTTGCTCGCGTCTCCCCTGCTATTTCCTCCTCCCTTTTATTTTTCATTTTTTCTTTTTGATCGTACATGGTTTTGAAGGAAACGGGTCAGTCGGTTTATCGATTTCTGCAGTTCGTTCGGACGATATCGATTTTTACACAATCGTTCATAAAAAAAAAAAAAAAAAACACAAATATTGGTTTTCTCGTGAATCATGCTTCGTAATAGACAAAATTCGAATTTTGAGATGACACGGTATAATCATGTTTTCTTCGATTCATCCGACCATAGTTTATTCCTTCTCCAAATTACGTACTACTACTACAAGTGTTTGCTTGGGCCGGTGGGGATAGGCCTACACAATCAGTAGGATATCAGTGTGTTCCTTGGACCAATATTGATATACACCATGGCTTATTTTTTTCGTTTTTCGACCGTCATTGGAGCTGACACATAAAATGTTGTTTTTCGCATTTTGATTCTACGATTTGACTAAAATGGCTTTCTTTTTTTTTGGACTACTCATGCTTTTTTCTTATTTGTGTAGATACACCATACAATATTTTTTTTTTTTTTTTGTCAAGTTATAATTTGTCTAACCATTTCCAAAAATTACTTACAAAAAATATGTGTTTCTTTTGAACTAATGTTTTGAAAATATAAATAATACGTTTAATTGAAGTCTTGATTATAAGTGTTGACGCAGAAACCTCGTTTTATAAGAATCAAAAATAAGTTTATTCTTAACCTTTTGGAAAAAAATCAAACTTTTTTTTTTTAAAGAAAGTATTTAATTCTCATCTACGATCCTTAGACCTACAATTTCCTGTACAAGTGCCCAAACGTCATCGACCAATACACTGAAAATCCGAACTAAAGATACGTGTCGACAGAAGTTTCTTTAATTGCTTCCCGGCATAATTCTAAAATGGTACAAGTTGTTCGAAAAATGTCAAGCTCAGCTAATCCGCCAGACGACTCGTGCGTGCTTCGGGGGATAATTACGATCAGCGAGTTGCTTCTTTGTCAGTTGCGTGCACAGCCCGACTGCACGTAATGACCGGTACGTATTAATAACGATCGAAAAACGGACAAAAATGTTGCTTGACATCAAAAGGTATAGGCAAAAGAAATGAAAACCCAATGGTAACATTTCAGCGCAAAGTCACAGACGGCCGTGGTCGGTCGTAAGCCCCACAATCGGGAAGGAAGGGGTGCTTACCCTGCCGACGAGCTCAACTTGGACAGAACAAACCCGCGAGGACGGGGAGGAGGAGAAAGCAAGAAAAGGCGAGCTCGCGTGCACGGATCCGTCCGTCGTCGGCGTGCCTATACACGTGTGTATGCGTACAGTTGCCTCCGTGCACTGGACGGCGGTGCACCGCGGACCGATAAAACCCACCGCGGTAGGCCGAAAATAAATATTTCAACGATCCGCGGAGGGATCGAAAAAGAGGCGAAGAAGCAGTGCAGGTTAAGGAAACCGGCAGTAATTTCAGTTGCCGTGCACGGCCGTACAGCGGCAGTGATAGTATAGCCACACGAGCCGCACACCTGGGGGGGGGGATACCGAGCGCGGGGGAGGCTCGCGTATCATCCTGCGGCACAGACACACCGGTTACACCAGTGCCGGCAGGACGGACAAACAACGAATCGATTCGCCGTGTGTTACGTACATTCGTGTCTGTGCCACCCACACACGCGCGCGCGACTCGCCGTCCGATCGAATTTAACGATTCTCGGAGGGGCCGGTGACACTGTAACATCCGATTACCACACGCGAGAGATAGAGAGGGAGGGAAGAAAAAAGTGAGACCCTCCGCACGAGCATGCCGGAGAGGCTCGGCCATCAGTAGAACAGTTCACTCGGCCGAGCGTCACGTGCGCCACTCGCATGCTTACTCTACTTATTCTTCTTCCGCTTTCCTGGGCTTCGCCGTCATCTTCTTCTTCCTGCGCCGACTGGATTTCGCACTAGTCCAAGGAATTTAAATGTTCATCACGAGAGGTGAGGTTTATTATTAGATTGCACTAATGTGCAACAACCACCGCTCGACGTGTATGTATGTATACATACGTACGTGCGAGGGCGCTCGCCTGCAGACGCCGGAAATTGACTCCACGTCGAGGGGGTAGGTCTCGCGCGGACGAATTTCTGATTGCTTCGAATTACGTAACGTAACCGATTTAACGGGGCGACGTGCGCGGCGCCTCGTCGATGTGTACACACCTGTACCTACATGCGCGTTTCGTAATGGGTGTACACTTATGATCGGTATTTTTTTTTTTTTTTTTGATGAATTTCTATGCTTGGTCCTCCGCGCAGAGAGCAATCGCTTGGATAATCCGATTTGGGCGGGTGAGAGCCTTCGCGTGGCGGATTGCCGGCTATCGCTAATTAATTTGTTCCCGGGATGAGCCCCCGCGATTGAGGATGCCGTGGTGAGCTTTTGGCTGTTCCGATTATCTACGATGGAATTTCGATGACGACAAATGGAAAAAACGCTTGAGTACGATCGACGGGAGCTCAACTCTTTTGTCGAATCCGCTCTGATCGTTGGGAGGGAAAATTTGGATTTGGGATGCTTCTCGTATTGGGGCCCATCTGTAATAATCTAAACGGAAATTGAAAAAAAAAAACAGTTTTGTCCTCGACGAGTTTTCCGGAAACCAAATCTTGATCAGAGATGGTGTGCTAAAGTTGCGTGTTTTTTTTATTGTTATGATGCCAAATGTGAGGTAAATTATCTCGAGTTTGATATCTACTAAATTAGATTCGACATCTCGAAGCAGCTGCCGCGGTAATGAGTGTAGTGCAGTGTCGAAACCTAAATTTAGTTGAAATTCTAGCTGTTTCGAGACACATCAAAGATTTAATGTGAGTCAAAGTACAATGTGATACAGAACAGAGATTTATTATCATTTGGTAAAGTACTTTTTTTTGTCCCTGCATGTAATTGTATGGAGTAAAAAACACTGTCGATAATAACATTACGCGATGAATTTTTAAAAACGTAGTGAATATGCTTAAGAGACGCTTGTCAAACCTGCGAAAGTATGTCAGACTGGCTCGTTGCGTTACTTCACGTGAGATGAAAATACGTTGAAGCTCGTACTTGTCGCTCATAAAATATTAAGTAACTTGACGCTGTACAGCAGCTAAAAAAACAAGCTTGTCAGAAACAACAAGGTATAAAGTTTGAATTATTATAGCAAAAAAAAATACCTAAAGAAAATGAGTTTTAGCGAGGTTACTTAATTGCGATGGACAAGTTTACGGAAAGAAACGGAAAACAATACGCAAGTTAATAACTTGCAAATTATTCCACAGTTAAAAATAAGCTAAAAAAACCAATAAAATATAATGACGTGCATTTAAAAAAAAAAAAAAAAAANCTTGTCGCTCATAAAATATTAAGTAACTTGACGCTGTACAGCAGCTAAAAAAACAAGCTTGTCAGAAACAACAAGGTATAAAGTTTGAATTATTATAGCAAAAAAAAATACCTAAAGAAAATGAGTTTTAGCGAGGTTACTTAATTGCTGATGACAATGTTTACGTAAGAAACGGTAAACAATACGCGAAGTTAATAACTTGCAAATTATTCACAGTTAAAAATAAGCTAAAAAAACCAATAAAATATAATGACGTGCATTTAAAAAAAAAAAAAAAAAAAGAAGTTGTAACGACCATCGCGATACATTTTATCTCAAATGCTTATGCGTATAACAAACGAGCTTTGCCACTTTTTCATGCTCACACGTATATTCGTGTTGGGAATCTTGTATGCTCGAATCAAACCCCTTACACAGTAGGGTAGTCAATTGATATTAATTAATTATACTCTACCAACTGAGCAATACCAATCCCGTCTGAAAAAAGTACATTTAAAGCCCAAGTTCGCACGGGAGCGTAAAATTAAAAATTTGGCAAACATGAGGCATTAATTTTTCTAAACGATCATGATCGGTTACGGTTAAAATTTAAAGGAAATCTGTATACTTTTAATTTCATTGAAGAAAAAAAAATTGTATAATATGCAATAATATATACACTTGGATCGATCAACTCCAACATCGCGCTGTTGTCGTCCTATTTTCGGTAAAGTGCGAATAAAATTTTGGCAAACAGATTTATTCGTTCATTTGGGCCTAAATCAAGCGGGGTCGTAAATTTTCACGCTTTTCGTCAATTTCGCTCTGGATATAATTCAGTCCCTCTTACCCCCCGGTGATCACTACCTAGAGCTTTTGAGGAAAAACAGCTTTTTTTCAAAAACTATTACAAACCGTAGTCTGGCGTTGAAAAAAAAAAAATAGTCGCACGCGCATAACGAGCACGAACAATGTCTCCGCGCGTATACTTCCACACGTAAGGCTCTGCAGTGAGCACGTGCGCAGCGAACATCATAGTACAGTGTATATATATATATGTGTGTGTGTGTGTGTGTGTGCACTCGTACACGGGTGTACGCATCACCCACAGCCACGGACCCCGGGTGTCCCGTGTGACGCATGAGTTTGCAACAACCTGCTTTAGCTTCCGTTAGCCTGTCACTTTGTCATTTCCCGATCGGCCCTCGACGACGATCGTCGGAGGGGTCGGCTCGATCCTCTCCTAGTGCGTGAGCCTTTGTTCGGTGTGTGCGGGTAGCTGCGTGGGTAGACGCGTGCCCCCTCACCAATACCCCGACCCACATCCTATCTCCGTCACCCTCGACATCATCGTGCGGTCATTGTTACTGTTGTTGTTTTTATTTCTCTTATATACCGTTGTCGGCGTAACGAAACTATTAAGTGTCATTTTGACCAATCATCGTCTCATCTATAGGCATTTTCCGTTTGTCATTGTTTCCTTTTTTGTTTTTTTTGTTTTTTGGTTTCCGAAAACTTTTAATTTTTTCAGTCCTACATCCCGCGGTACTCGTTACTGGTGCCATAGTATCTGTGGGCCGCGGTTATTGACGCGCTCACACGATATAAACGTACACACTCGCGTCGCGCCGCTAATCCGATCTATCCGTCGTTGGTCCGTTGCTGCGGACGCGCATTTATTTTCGTCTCTTCTGATCGGCAGGACATGGGGCCCGTGGAGGCGTATCGCTACCTCGTGCAGGAAATATCAGGTGAGTACGATATATATGTACGTGTACACAAATCAACAATCCCATATATATATAATATATAAATCCAAAATTCTTGCTCTCCTCTCACTATATGCTCGACTAAATGTATACTTTACGTTAATTGTATGCTCGTATTACTTTCATCCGGTTTTTCCTACTCACGAGTACAATTCATCGTTGTTTGTGCGTTTCGAGTGACTCAATAACCCACATTTACGTAATTTATGAAATAATGTTGAAACGAATCGATAACAAATTGTATTGATGTGCTTCATCACTCTGCATAATCACCGTACGGGCTATTTCGGAAACCATCCGACAGCAATGGCAATAGCACGCGCAGATTTATTGGTACTCCCGAGAAGTCGGGGGCAAAAAAAAAAAAAAATAGCATGGAGAAAGAGAGCGGGGATAAGCTACATATACTCGTCCACGATCGCATTAATCTGATGCTTTTTTTTTTATCCCCTTTCCCGGCCCATCCTCTGTTCTATTATTTGCAGATCCAAGGGTGGCTGATTGGCCGATGATGGCCAGTCCGTTTCCGGTACTGCTGGTTCTCCTCGCCTATCTACTCTTTGTGCTGCATCTCGGACCAAAGTACATGCAAACCCGCGCGCCCTACCATCTCGGCAATGTCATGATAGCGTACAACGTCACAATAGCCACCTGCAGTGCGGCTGTTTTTTACGGGGTGAGTTTTTACCTTTTTTTTTTTTTTTTTAACCTTGACTGGTCCTTCCACATGTACATAGAATTTTTTCGTTTTATTTAGCTTCTCACTTCGGGTTTCACGACGAGCTTGTCCTGGGGCTGCGAGCCCGTCGACTATTCCCTGACTCCCGAGGCAATTAGCGTGAGTTTTCCAAAGACTTTTTAACGATCGACGCGTCAAAGGTGGCGAGAAAGGAAAAAAAAAAACAAAAAAAACTAAAATTCCATCAACCAACGTTTCGTAGATGGCACGATGGGTCTGGTGGATATTGCTCCTGAAAATAGCCGAGCTCGGGGATACCGTTATCTTCGTACTGCGCAAGAAGTACAATCAGTGCTCGTTCCTGCACATTTATCATCACGCCGCTACCGTGAGCCTCGCCTGGATGGCCTGCAAGTACGCCCCAGGTGTGCCTAGTCATCCCGCGCTCGTAAACAGCTGCTATGCTCATCCCGCAGAGTCACTACAGTGTGTTACTGCGCAAAAGCTCATACGCAACAATCATCTAGCAAAGACCTATACGATTCCAACGATGACCATTTCATTTTCTTTTTTTTTCCCCCTTACCATTCAGTTTTATCACAACATTTATGTTTTGTAATGAAAAAAAAAAAGACGCAGTGCTCTAGATTATTCAACACCTGCACTGGGTCTCGTGTCACGTATATATACGTAGCATCTCGTTACAGGTGGAATGTGGACCTTCATAATGATGCCAAATTGTCTGGTTCACGTGATCATGTACACGTACTATCTGTTGGCCTGTCTGGGCCCGAGGTTGCAAAAAAGAATCGCCCCCTACAAGCCGTACATGACTATCCTTCAGATGGTAAATTACACGTTTGCTTGATTTTTTTTTTTTTTACTCACCCAATAGCAGCAGCGGGTCACGCTCGATCTTTCTTCCGATCCGAGAAATCGAGAGGCGAGAAACGCGATACGATCAAATGCGCGTGCGAGCAGTAAATCTACTGCGGCGGGTATCTCCCGAGGTGAGCAAAGAATGCTCGAGTGCTCTTTCGCGCGAGGAGCAACGGGAGGATTTTAATCAAATGAACCCTTCGATCCCGAAGGGTCGATCCATCCGGGCTCGTTTAATTTCGTCGAGCTCGGCTTTCCCCTGTATACCTTGGAGGAAGCGCGCCGGGTTGAGTCGTCGCATACATACCGTCGTCATCGCCGGGGGCCATTGCGAGAAGGAAAGCACAGCGAGAGGGAGGAGGATGCTCGGCGTAAATGCGGCAGTTCTTCCTCGACTAGTCGCGCGTAACTCCGTTTCCCGTCCTTTTGACCCGGTGCTCTTTTCCGCTTTTCTCGATTAGTTCGCCACTCTATATCACATATTATGTGTATACAAGTACGCCGAGGGACTCGGAGACGGGCGCTTGATGCAAATTTTTCGCGTCTCTCGACATAGATCGGGAATCTCGGCCAAACGGAAGAGCTCGTTGGTAGCTTGTACGTGTTTTTTTTTTTTTTTTTTTTTTTTTTAACGTGTCAAGGTTGAGAGTCCAGCGGAGACGGGTGTCCGGTTTCGTCTGGATCTCGTTGAGCGGGACAAAATACCTATGCGGGGCATACCTTTTGTTTTACAAAAATGTTACTTTTTTGATTTTGCGAATTTGACGATTTTCAAAATTGCAGATCCAATTCGTGATAATGGTGATACACACATCCCAAGCGCTGATGCCGTCCTGCGAGCCGAAGAAGAAGCCCCTGGCGTACATCTACATGGCCAACGTCATCGTGATATTCTACATGTTCTGGGACTTTTACAAGAAGGCCTATCTGACCAAGAAATCGGTGTAATTTATGGGTCGCGCGAGTCGGACTTTCGAAACTGATCGAAAAAGAGCCGAGGGGGGACGCTATCTTTTTTTCCTTTACCATCGCGGATGGACACGTGTGTGTTGTTATCGTGCAGTCGAACGACTGGGTAGGGGGGGGGGAGAAGTTGCGTCGTTTATCCCAGGACTTTGTGCTCTTCCTACGCGGGCGACCGGATTTATTTCCCCATATTTTTGGATTTATTTTATTTTTATTCATATGATAAAAGAAGCAAAAAAAGTAACATAAGGAAGAGAGAAATAAAGTTGCTACATAGCTTCTGCCGCACACAACGGACGGCAATTAGCCTACAAACGCGTTTCCCTTCGTCACAGGGAGAGCGGCTTTTCCTTCGCATGTTGGTCATTTGCACCTCGCAAGAGTAATTTCTTTCTTATACCCTCGTGTGTCGCCCACGATGAGTCATACCGTATATATATACATGTATGTGAGCGCGCGGTGGCTCGGTCTGCTAGGTCGTGGATTGGCACGCGGGACTTTTCGGGCAAGTACCTCTGTGTATTTACACAAGTGCTTTTTCACCACGCAATGCTCCTCGAGGAGGGTTTAGGCGACCTCCTCGCAGCAAAATTGCCTAATTCCCCCTACCCCCCCTCCCAGTAATGGGGGGGGGCCTCCCATCCCTTTCCTTGTCCCTTTCCCAAGTGCTAAGTGCCCATAGTAGTGCCCTTATTAAAAAGGAGCCGGACGTAGAGCACTATAATATAAAAAAAAAAAAAAAATATATAGTTGCTCGCCCTTTTCTTACACGGTGGCGTATTAGTGCGGGAGCCAGGTGGGTTCCCGTGGCCTTTTCCATTAAAATGGTCCCACCCAAGTTTTTCTTATATATTTTGACATGCTTAACACGATTTTCGACTTTGGCTTGCTGTAAAACTTGCACATCAATAGTTATTAACAAATTTTACAAACAAATTGAAAAATTATAAAATTTCGGTGAAAAAAAATGAATTCGTATTCTTTGGCACATTTTAAGCAAAAAATATTGCAAGCAATTTTTCTATAATAGTTATACTTTTTTAGTAAAACATTCGCAAAATTTTTAAAAATTTGAATTTAGCGATTTTCAACCGTTAATATCTCGATTGNATCAACGCACGCTTTAACAAACTCAGTTTTTTTTTTTTTTTTTTGTTTTATTTCTTCGTTTTTCTTGTCTTTGTTTTATTTTCAACTGTAACGTTTTTAGACGTGGTGCAATTATAACTGTCAAGCAAACACATTTTGCCGCGTTCCTTAAACCCTTTTGTATACCATACACCTACTATACGTGGATTTTTTTTATAATGGATAAGCTTCTGGTTTTTTTTTAAATTCTCTTATACTGTGCAGGCTATATTGTTATTTTTCACTCGATTTTTCATTTTTTAATTAACGCAATTGTGAGTTGAAAAATTAGTCTGTTTGTATTGCGAAGCGAGAGATATCAGATTGTAATTTACCTCAACAATGTAAAAATTATGTACCGCGCGAGCTGAAATAACTCGCACGAGAAAATTTTCCTGGCCCAAGGGAAAATGATTAATGGTAATTTTATGTGGCTTGTTACCGCTTGGGCGCACGTGTACAGCACAGCAGCAGTTTGAGCTTCGCCTTTTCATCCAAGAATACCATACCCGAAACGGCTTGGGAAAATAATGTTACCGCTGTTGTATGGTTAACTTGCTTTTCGGAATTTAAAATATACAAGAATTTTCCACACGATAATAATTTCCTAGCGTTACATCTCACATTCCAAGTTTGTAATAATTTCGGGGTAGTGTTAGAGAGCCAAGCAAGTGCAAATGTAATCAAATGCCTTAAAATTGTACGGGATTTTATTAAGGTTAAAGAGTGATTCATGCGAAAAAAAAAATTAGCACTATACGTAATGGTGATATTCTTCCTCAAGACACATAGTAAATTACTAAACTAATTTTATAGTCACAGTTTACGGATATCGTTATAGTTCTCAATTCATAAGAAAATACATAGCAGCCGAGAATGAGACAATCTCTGGTTGATCCACATAAAAAGGATAAAAGGGATCTGCTTCTACTAAATTTTGTATCATCAATCACTTTACGAATGTTTCTAATAATTGTGTAAGAAAATCCTAAAGCTTTACTGTTAAGAATCATTATTTCATAAAATATTTCTAACACGTCTTGTAATTTTATAGTAAATACTGTTTGTAAATGGTAATAAATTTTTAACTGTTAAAATATTCGGAAGTTATTATACTGTTTTTCCTAAGAGCTTTCATCAATAAGAAAGCTTACATCTTTACAATAAAGATTGAGTAACTCATTCATGTTATCTTAAAAGAGTTTTGGTTTTTTGATAAAAAAAAAAAAAAATTGATACAGCCGAGACGATTCATTCGACGTCAGTATAGTTTAATGAAATTATTTTTTCAACGAAAGGCTGTTTTAACGAATGCGAAGTTATGAAAGCTCCAGGCCCGAAAATAAATACGAAAAAACATTCACTTTACGAATTTTTAAAAGAAGCGTAAGAGATACGAGGAAAATCCAAACAAGCGAATGTAAATTTTTTCCACCCGGTCCAAGCTCAATAACACGCGCACTAAAAAAATAAAGGGGAAAAAAAAATGCCATGCCAACGTCTCCCGGACGAATCCTCGAAAACAGAAAAAGACACGCACCAAAAGCAAAGAAACGTGATTTTTTTATAATTTCACACTGGCAGGTGCAAGCTCTTCCTCCCTTCTCCCAACGCGTCGGCTCCACTCAAAATTTCCAATCCCTCCGGTCCCGGTCTACACGTTTTTCGATACCCCCTGTACTGTTATTTATTATTTATTTTTTTTTTTTTATCACAGCAGCACTACACTTTTTCACCCACCCGTTTTCGGTAACTTCTCGCCCCATCGGCAGCGTGCACTTTCGCAAAGCCGATCGGTTTGAAAAATTTACAAGCTTCCGCGTGCACGGCAAATCGGCGCGATATTTCGCCCAGCCCGGCCCCACACGTATAGGTGTTACACCCACTGCAGAGGGAGATAGAGAGCGGCTCCACGCTGCTCGCGATACGGCGCGTAATTGCTTGCTTAAATATTGCGCGCGTCTGGCGTACCGATTGCCACACGGCACACCTATATACATAGTGGAGTCGGCCAGCCGGGACCGGTTATTAACATCGCCATTCCGCGGAAACGGGCCACCCTTTGAGCGTGCCTTGGGGCTCCTTTCGCCCCCTGAAATTGCAATTGCCGCTCTTTTGCCCCGCGCGTGCATTTGCCAGTTGCTTTTTAAAGTCGAGGATTAAAGATGAAAAAATAAAATGAACAAAAATAAGGTGGGAAAACAATATCAACATTTTAAAAGTAAATAAAAAGGAGGCGGGGGTGCAGGGAGAGGTGTCGCCAAGGTGGCGCACCCAGAGGCGGAGAAAAAGGTATAGTGGCATAAGCTACCTGGGCGCGTGAATCGTAACGGATGCGCTCTCGTGCTCTGCTTTGCGAACTCTTGAGATTAAAAAATAACACCGTGGGGGGGAGGGGGTTGGAAAAACTTGCCGGCAAAGGCGAGCCAAAGTGGGAACGCGGTGGACCACCGCTGCCCTGCCTCTAGATGTTGCTGTATATAGGCTAGATTTGCAAGTTCAACTCGAGAGGGGTGCGGAGGAGGGAAGTACACGTTAAGAAGTAATTTATTCGCGGGAAAGTTTCGGACGCCCGGTCTTTTTTATGTACGTCGTCGTCGTTGGTGCTCTCTCTCTCTCTCTCTGGCTCTGCAAATAGCTTGCTTATGCGGCAATCGAGACGATGTATATGAGGCTACTTTTGAATTTTCATGCGATTCGCGAGTAATTCGAGGAAATGCACAACACGAACGCCGAGTGGTTGGGAAACTCGCGTCTACGCTCGTATTATTCTAGCAAAGTTTCTTGAAACTCTGATCATACATTTTATTTGGAATTTATGTTAAAGTTATCTGCTAATTTTCGTTTTTAAATAAATAGAAAAAAAAAAAAAAAGCAATTGCAGTTTTATTTTAACGTTTAATGTATGGCAGATAATGGAGGAATTTTTATTCTTAAATGAAGCTGCACTGAATTAATATCTTTATCTTTATTGTCTTCGTTGTGTTGACGATCAAAGTTAATTGTTTTTTATTTAGTTGATAATACACATTGATAGTTGAAACAAATAAATAAAAAATTTAAGATACAGTGAAACATAAATGTAAATAAATTGATATTACATTATGAGGCTTCCAAGGCTCTGGAGTGTTACGTATCATACATCTACTTATTGCCGTCCTGGGCAATCAATAGCAATTTGTCACTACCGTAACTCAAATTTTGTATGAAACGAAACTCGCGAGTGTACTTTTAAAATTTCGGACGATGCAAACCCACTAAAGTCGTTTGGCTCGCAATAAGGTATTCACGTCCGTTCACTCAATTTCCAAAACAGGGTGGGTATATACCTACACCCACACACAGAGAAAAATAACCACAATAGAGTCTCGGGTGGTACCACGATCGTGTGTAAATAGCACCCAGACTCGGCTGTTTAACCAACGGCAGGAACAAGTGGATCTCCCGGAGGGCGCCCCAAGAAATATTATATAAGGAGCCGGGAGTACACAACAAGAAGCGGCTTGGAATTTAATAATTCTGCCTCGGTGAACTAAAGCCCGTTAGAGCGAGAGCCGGCCAGTTGGCTGGCACGACTAATTTTAAAGATACCACGGGGGCCATGTGTCATCGTCTGCCGGTATGTACTTCCAGGAAGCTCCTCCTCGTTGATGGAGGACCAAGCCAGTCTGCCTAATTGATTAAAGTTAATTTAAACTTAATTTTACTCAGCACGAGGTACAGCTGTATAGATATGCTCCTTCGTCCTCCCTTGCAGGACTCTGATCTTTTGAGCCCTTTAGGGTGTGCGCGTCCTTTCGCTCGCGGACGCATTACTCTTTGTTCCCCTTTGATTGTGACGACGGTGTAGGATTAATACGTTAGGTAGCCTTAGGATATATTAATTACAGCCAGCGTCGTCCTTTGTACCTTCCGGGGGGAGGTATGGGGCTGTAGGGAGATGACGAGGCGATGGAGGGATCACGTTTTGTGGACGGGAAATCGAGGCGCGTCCGTTGAGCCAAGGTAGAGTAATTTGTCGTTTTGTCCGTGATGAATCGTTGTTGCGATTAATTTATTAAAAATTCGTGCGATGATGAATCAACGTCATTTTTTTCCCCCACTTTGAAAGTGCCACACGATCATAATGATGATCCTTTTTTTTTTCGAACGATTTGGGCGAAACAAAAGCGATCGCTTGAATTTACAAAATATAATTTGTTTCTATTTATCGACCCTTGGAAGGAAAAACGAAATAAAAAAGTACTTACATACGAGTCTTTGCAAATCAAAGAAAATGCCTACCAAATAGCAGAGAGGGTAACTCGTTACAAAATAAACCATTACGTGGGTTTAAAAGCATTGGCGATTCGAGAATAGGATTTCGAGGC